CCTCCTCCTCCTCCTCCTCCTCTTCTTCTTCTTCTTCTTCTTCTTCTTCTTCTTCTTCTTCTTCTTCTTCTTCTTCTTCTTCTTCGATATTCCCCCTCCTCAGGCTCCTCTCTAAGCCCCAAAGCTTCCTGGGGTTGCAGCCACAGGGCTGCTGTCAACCCCAATTACAAAAATAACAGATTAGGGCTCCCCTTGAAGACTGTTCAGAAGCTTCAGCTAAAGCAGGACATGGTGGCTAGGCTGCTGATTGGGGCCAGCTATTGGGAGCCTGTCACCCTGATATCACAGCAATTAAACTGCCTCCCAATCCACTCCTGCTCACAATTCAAGGTGTTTGACCTTTAAAGACCCACATGGCCTGGGACCAGGGTATCTGAAGGGATGTCTTCTCCCATGTGTTCCTGCCCAGGAATTATGATCACAGGGAAAGGCCCTCCTGGCTGACCCACCAATTAAGGAAGCTCATTGGATGGGTACACGAGAAAGGGCCTTTTCAGTGGCAGCCCCACAATTATGGAATGACCTCTCCAGGGAGGTATGCGTGGCCCTTTCATTTTCAGTCTTTAGGAGGCTGCTGAAGATGGTTTTATTTAGGACTGCATTTGATTAAAGCAGTTCTAAGCTGTGATTTTAAATTGTGGTTTTATGCATTTTTACCTACTCTGTGTGTTTTATTTATATTTTAAGCCACCTTGAGATCCATAAGGATGAAAGGCGGCTGACAAAACAGACAGATTTATGGAGGATAGCTCCATCAAAGGCTGTTACCCACCACCAATGGCTGCTACTATCTTGGCCTGCAAGTTTCCAGCTAGGGTTGCCAGGTCCACTGGACCTTTGGGCAGGGTGGGTTGGTGGAGGGAGCATTCCGGGAGTGGAAAGTGACGTACCTGGAAATAAACATGACATGCCTAAGTCACCGGGAAGTGATGTAGGAACACTGGTGAGGTTGGGGGGCAACACTCTGGTTTTTGGGCAAAACTCTATGGTAAAATTGGCTTCAAACATCTGGGTGACATAGGCACACTCTGTTTACTTCCTGCTTCTTCCCTCCCTGCTCATATTTATTTCCAGTTTGGGGCGGGGTCTGGCATCCCTTTTTCTCCTGCTTCCTGATAGCCCTGAAGCGGGGGGAGGGGCTCCAAACTGGTGGATCCCCCACCCCCAACTGGGGACTGGCAATCTTACTGCCTCTCTGCCCCCCTGGCTAGGGATGATATAATGACCCATTAACTGGGTTTGGGATGGGAGAGGCTGTTACCCCCTTTGCCTGCGCTCCCCCTTCGCCGGGGAATCGCCAGCCTATTACATTTTCGTCTCTGAATATGGTTTTATTTTTTGCTGGTATAGCATCTCCTCCCATTTTTGAGTTTTACAATGGGGCGTGAGGAGCTGATGTATTATGATTGTTAATGGTTATATTCTTCAGATTTATAAGCCGTTTTGAGTCCTCCTGTGTTACAGGACAGGAGTGGCATATAAATATGCTGAATGAACAGTAAATGAATCTGCAATTGCTAAACAGAGCCCACATAGTCAGAGATGACATGCTAGAGGAGGGGACAGCTTTGATCTAAAGAAACTATATTCTTGAGTCATTGGCGTGGAGCTTTTAGAGATATCAACATATACATTATGTAGGTGTACCTCTTGGGCCCAGTACGGTCCATTCTTCGTCTTCATCAAAATGGGCATCTCCGCCTATAAATCGCCCAGGCTGAAAAGCATGAGCCAGTACCCCACTGGGTCCATCAAAAGGAGAGTTATCACCATGATCTGAATGAAGAAGAGTGAATGAATTCAGTCACAATGGATTTTTTTTACTTAGGGAAAGCATTAAATGACGGAAGTCAAGATAGGTTACCTCCTCTGTTAAAGGAGATCATTATATCCTGGATGCCGTCCTGCTCTTCTTGGAATGTCAGGGGTGACACGTTGCTCCAGACTTCGAATGCTTTCTGGATTGCTCTTCTCACCAAGTTTCTATCTAAATCTGGTGTGTAATTCACAATCCTTTAAAATTATATATGAAATACAAGTCAATCACATGATTGTATTGGCTGTGTACGCCCGCCCCGCAATCATGGAAGATGTGCTGGACCGTGCTGTTCGAAAAGGTCAGAAATTCTGCTCAGATGGAAATCCTTAGGTGTGGCAGTCCAGACAGTGGCCACCAAGGGTCATCCTAAAACAGGTACAGGCCAATCTTCTGAAAAGTTAAGCATGCATAATCCCATTGAAATGAATGGGTTTAGGTATACACAGAAGTGCATAGAATTGCAGGCCATAAATATGAATGGGACTTCCTCATAAGTAGGCACATTGAGGACTAGAGGCTTTAAACTCCCTAAGGCACAGAAGTGCCTTAAGACTCTCATTCCTGACAAAAATCTTCTTTACCTGTATGTCAGATGGGTTTTGTCCCACTTAGGGTTTCCCTCTGTGAGGGTAAAGCCACCGAGGTCAGGTACGCCACACCTGGGCTGCTTCATCACACCCAGTGTTTCAGCATCCACTTCCCCAGTCACGTTCAGACCAAAAAACTCCTGCATTTTTTTCAGCTTTTCAGTCACAGAGTTAGAATCTCTTGACTTTGACCGGGGAATTGGCTCCACTTCGGGACTGTAGAACTTTTGTAAATATTCCTAGCAGAAAGACAAACAAACAGACAATCAAACATTGGATATCAATAATGGGATAACTGTAACAATAGATCTAGGATTTTCACAAAAGAATCGGGAAATAGAACTGAATACTAAATTTAGTGTTAAGGACTGGGAACAAATACTCCAATGCTTTCCTTTCAGATCAATCTCAAGAGGTTTGCAAGAGCATGCATTAAAGGTGCTTCAAAGGTGGTATTTCACTCCAGTTAGGCTAGCCCACTTAATGAAATTAGATGGTAAAAATTGTTGGAGAGGTTGTGGTGAACTATTATTCATATGTGGCGGCCTATTTGTTTGTTTATTCATTCAAAATCAAATTTATTCACAGAAAAAGCCAGCACATTTATTTATTTATTTTATTCAGGTTCTAACCTGCACTCCCTGGAACACTTTTTGCCCAGTTATAGCAAATTTTTGGCAATCAGTATTTGCAGATATTGCTAAAATAACCCAGGAACAAATAAAACCTACTACTGAATTAGCCCTGCTTAACTTA